CACCCAGAGCGTCGATGCCCAAATATGGAGGCCTGCCCGTGTACTCGCAGGCGACAGCCCTCCTGTTCCAACTCCAACAATCCCAACTTCGGTTGGTACCCCGGTCCGGGATGCGCACTTCCATGACAGCCCGCAGCACACTCCTCGCAATGCGACACCTCAAAGGGAAACGGCCCAGTACAACCAGCGACAGAACTACCAGGATCGAGACAACTACACTGATCCTCGCCTCGCATACGAACTGCCGCCTTGATTGTCTGATGAGATGTCATTTTTGACTCTTGTTGCAACTCTATTCTTTCAACTGAATCATTCTCGATGGATTCCTCTCGCTAGGTGTGATGACTGGGGTGACCGAGTCCGGTTTATTTATTAAACCGGTCCGGCATGGTAATATGTGCCTTCGGAGCCGGCTATGCTTGCCTACCAGGCCATCAAGGATCAGGACCCTTCTTTATTCTCTTCGGCCAGCAAGCCATCTACTGCGGCGTTTTATAATTCAGGTTACAGTCACTGCTGTAACTGGAAGAGAACTTTACTTCTTTCAGATGGCCCCTCCGGCGAGGGCTCGATTGGGCGAGCCATCTTTGGTAATAGATTCTCAGACCGTAACTGGCATCTGAGATTCTGGGAGGCTACAACAAAGAGCCTTTTTAATCACTGTTGATCCAACAGTAAACGCTGATCATATCGACAACAGCGTCTCTTGGGTGGAGGGTAACTGGGATGGAAGGACAAGACTAAGTGCTGGTTCCCGTTGATGAGCGTGTGATATCGCTCCCCACCACCACTTTCTATGTTCTCAGGCTGCTTGTCGTGGTGGATCAGGATATCTTTGCCGTCTTACAGGCGAGTTCGATCTAAAGTTGAAGGAAGATGGATGAATTTCGAATCTCTTCTCTGACAGGATGCGGGGTGGTCTGGGAACACAAATATACCCGAAAGGGCAACCTATTTTTTTGTAATTTAATGACCTGAGATATGACTCAAAACAAATCTTATGATTTACATACTGAACCGACGTCATACTGAAGTGATGTAATTAGTAGCTGATCATCCTCGGATCATCTGTTGGTTGTACCCTGGACGATGGACTTTGTGCAAAAGCACAGACCACCCGCACCCGCACCGAGAGATCCACTTCGGTCAGGCACTTTGCCGGATCGAAGGAATCAACGTCTCGTCACCAAACCCAGCTTCCTGATCAGCCTGCCGACGAAGGGCATCGCAACCATTGTCTGCATGCCATTGGGGGACGAGACCAATCATTCCGATTAGACCACCAGCTCTCCATCACAACCCCCAATGTCGGCTGCTCTGCTTCGGCCGCGCTTGGCCGTTGGCCTACGCAACGCTGCCCCTCGATCACCCGTTTCCACCCGCCGCTACGCATCCTCGTCGTCGTCGTCGTCGGGCAGCCAATTCGGCGGAGCCAAGATTGCTCTGTATAGTACTGTCCTTGCCGCCTCTCTCTACGGCACCTACCTCTACACAACCGACACCCGCGCGTCTTTCCACCAGTGGCTCATCCCTCCCGCCATCCGCCTCTTCTTCCCCGACGCCGAGGACGCTCACCACGTCGGCACCGCTGCCCTCAAGTTCCTCTACCCTCTCAACCTCCACCCCCGCGAGCGAGACGCCTCATTGAAAGACGCTTCTGAGCTGCAGGCCACCGTCTTCGGAACCAAGATCTCCAACCCCATTGGCATCTCGGCCGGCCTCGACAAGGATGGAGAGGTCCCCGACCCTCTCTTCAGCCTCGGCGCCGGCATCGTCGAGGTAGGTGGCTGCACGCCCCTTTCCCAGGAAGGGAACCCGAAGCCTCGCGTCTTCCGGGTGACCGCCCTGAACGGCATGATCAACCGCTACGGGCTCAACTCGCGCGGAGCAGACAACATGTCGGTGCGTCTGAGGGACAGGCTGAGGAGGTTTGCCAAGTCTCTGGGCGTGACCGAGGAGGATGTCCTGAACGGCGAGGCGGGGGTGCCCCCGGGGAGTCTGGCCGAGGGCCGGCTGCTGGCTGTGCAGATTGCCAAGAACAAGGAGACGGATGGCTCAGACGAGAGGGCCGTGGCGGACGACCACGTATACTGCGTCAAGAGGCTGGCGCGCTACGCCGACATCCTCGTGGTCAATGTCAGCAGCCCCAACACCCCTGGGCTGCGGGATCTGCAGGCTACGGGGCCTTTGACGCGGCTGCTGAGCGCAGTCGTCGAGGAGGCTGACAAGACGGATCGCAAGCAGCGGCCCAAGGTCATGGTCAAGGTATCGCCGGACGAGGACGACGAGAGCCAGGTCAGCGGTATTGTCACCGCAGTGCTTGACAGCGGCGTGGACGGCATCATTGTGGGCAACACGACGAAGAGGAGGGACGGCCTCCTCCCTGCTACTGGGAACGCATACCTCACCGCCAAGGACAAGAAGGCATTGACGGAGGAAGGCGGATTCTCTGGTCCCGCCATGTTCAGCCGCACCTTGAACCTCGTGAAGAAGTACAACAGCGCACTCTCGACTGCGACGCTCAAGTCTGGCGAGGCGGAGAAGGTCATCTTCGCCACAGGCGGCATCACCAACGGCGAGCAGGCTCTCAAGGTGCTCAACGCCGGCGCCAGCGTGGCCATGGTATACACTGGCATGGTGTACGGAGGAGCAGGCACAATCACGAGGATTAAGAGCGAGATGAGAGACGAGATCAAGTCGAAGGCATGAGACGATTCTGCGACGAATCGGAATTTACAGTATGTACAAAAAAAAGAGCACCTTCATTTGAGATTTCCTTCATTCCGTTTTCTGGGTTCGATATGGTGAATAGAGATGGGTAGGCGTTGAGATCCCTTGACAAGGGGACACTCTCTCGTCGACGAGTTGAGTGCATAAAAATAGATCAAGAGCAAAAAAAGAGAAAGATTATCAGGTAGGATAGCGGGATCCACGTACATAGGTAGTAAACATTGTCTATCTACTTCGTGGGAGTGGCTTGTAACAACGGTCTGGTCTGAGAGTTACCAAGCTATCAATGGGTCGTCATACCATGGTCATCTTTCTTTCCCAGAGTGCAATCTCAGGCCTCTCCAAGGCGAGAGCGGATCCTTTGTCTGTCTGCATGATAACCTTCACTTCTTGTCATCTGATACTCCAGCGAGAACCTTTGTGTCTGTTGGACATCTCAGCCTCGACTCATTACGAATATCTCTTGGCTCGGGACGACCTCCCGCCCTAGAAACGGTTCTAGAAGTACGACGGTGTGCGTGAGTGTCTGGGCTGCGCCACCGAGACGGGCAGCACCAGTTTCAGAAAGCAAGCTTAAATCGGAAACCGGTTGAGCCTCCTCGCCAATCAGGGCTGACCGCAAATCCAACGATCGGCAGAGGGTTAATGCGCTGCGTCATGACAATGCAGCCCAACCAACACCCATCACACACAACACGGTCCGTGTGTCTGCCTCGCTCTCCGCTGTTCCATGTCCACCTCGCAGCTGGCCATGGATCATGCCGTGACGACGATGGGGAATAGGTCGACCTGCCAAGCCTGCTGGCAATAACCACGCTCAATGTGCAGCATCCAAAGAGCGGCTCCCCCACAAACCTGGATCCAGTTTTAGGCTCGGCATTTGGGCTGTGTGTGCAACGAGGACGAAGCAAGCTTGGCGATCATTCCGTTGTGATTGTTTTATAATTTTCTCCGGCGAATCATGGACTGCACTGTCGTCTTGGCAACACGCGTCAGTGGGAGACGATCCAAAATGCCAAGATCGACACTGGGACTATCCCACTTTCCGGGAGAGCACCAGCGTAATATGTCTTGAATTATTTGGAGAATGTCATGCTGAGCATAGTTGCTGTTTGACAAGAACACGAAGGATAAATGGAAACCTTTGGCCCGTCTGTCCTCTGATCATCATTCCCCATCCATCCATCACTCAGCTCAACAAGCCAGTCAAGACCATCTCCAAGACTTCAACCCATCCTATCAACACAATGCATTTCTCCAACACATTCCTCACTCTGGCGCCCCTCGCCCTCCTGGTTCGAGCCGACCTCGACCTGGATATCAACGATACTCCTCAGGTGTGCCGCAGCATCTGCCAGCCAATTGCCACCCTCGGCGATCAGTGCGATGTCGACCTCCCAGGCGACAACAATGACCGCCAGGAGGATCTGCTCGAGCTTCAGTGCTTCTGCACCAACAGCAGCTTCGATGTCTCCAGCGTTGCTTCGCTCTGCCAGGACTGCATCCGCCAGAACCAGAACAACAGCGGCAATGATGACGCTGACGATGCTCTGGAGGGTATGTACCTGCCCAAATTCGAGCCTCTCTAGAATGTGGGCGAGATGATACTAATTTGCCGGCAAAACAGACATTAACAAGATCGTCCGCTCATGCAGCTTCTCATCCACGAGCTACGCCGCCAGTGCCGCCACCTCGTATATCCAGTCCGTCACCGTGACTGCGACCAGGCCCACGGATGCTTCCCAGCTGACAACCACGTACAACGGTGCTCCCAGGACCACTACTACGCAGAGCAACAGCGGCAGCTCCAGCACCAGTACTGACGGTGCCGCAGCAACCAGCAGCGGCAGCTCCAACGACAACGGGAATGCTGCCTCCGGCCAAGTTGCCTCTCTTCTGCTTGCTGGTGGCTTCGCCGGTGCTGTTGCTGCAGCACTTTCCTAAGAAGGATAGGGCGGAACTGCTTGCCTTGGCGGGAGACTTTGATCTCTCCCGTCTCCCACCACATGTCTCTTTCCTATATCTAAGTGTCATCATTCATTTTGTTGCTTTCTTTACACTGCCATGTCGAGGCTTGGCTGTTTCATGATATAGGATGATATGAGTTTATGAAGCAGCAACTGCGACAAGAACAATACCAAGTTTAGGCTTGGAATTGAGGAGATTAGTTGTGGTTCTGTTGTTAGAATGAATTTGGTTATATTGCAGACTATTTTCGTATATCATTGGTTAGCATACTCTACAAGAGCAATTGTGATCCTCATGTCCCCCTAGTTCCAAGAAAGAAGCATATCGTCGTCGTTGATATCAGCACCCATAAGTTCCTCGCTCAGCTGCATACTTCCCAATTTGAGGGATTCCTTTGATGTCCTGCGTTTCATCCTCCCCGCTAACAGAGCGATCTGTCGCTCATCCTCCTCCTCCTCCTCAGGGTTTTCTTCAGTCCTGACGTCCTCTGCCTGTTTCTCGTCCTGGCCCTCGACCTGCATCCGCCTCAAGCTGTCCGCCAACTCGCGCCTCAACTCTCCGATCAACGCTTGGTCTTTCTCCCTCTCTTTCCTGAACTCTTCTCTCTCCTGCGCAAAATGGGCCATCTTCATCTTCAATGTCCGCTCACCATCCGTCATCTTCTCCAGCTGGAGCTCCAACATCTGCGCCTCATCCTCCAGCCTCGTGAGATTCAGCCTGTACATCGCCTCCCACATGTCCGTCTGCCTCAGCGCCGTCTTGGCCATGGACATTGGCGCCCGCCTCACCACGTCCCCCGGCTTGTGCATGTTCCATATCTTGCAGTACCAGTTCCTGTTCTGCTCGACCCTCAGCTCCAGCTCGGCCATCTGCTCCCCCAGCCTCTCCAGGCTGGCGTCCCTCTCCGCCAGCTGCGCCTCCAGGGCGTCGTGGTCGCGCACCATGGACTCCATGTACAGGCCGCACACGTTCCTCTCCCAAGCGATGCGCTGCTCGCGGAGCCAGGCGGGCCGGCTGCCTCCCGGGAACGACTTGTCCTTCCACTGGTCCTTGAAGCGTGTTAGCCGCCTGCGGGGGGAGTCTACCCTGCGACACGTCGAGTTTGATCGTCTCGGTGGGAGTAGGTCGTTGCCGGCGCAGTTGTCGAGCAGCCTGCGCTCCCTTTCGCGATCTGTTTGATGGCTGGGGAAGAGGCCCTCCAGAGTGCTCCAGCTGAAGAGAGCGTAGATGGCGCGGAGTAGAGTGGTGGTTCCTTTGAATAGGGACTCGTCGTAGGAACGGTACACGCCGGAGGTTTCGAGCCAGCATGCGACTTGGGCGAGGGCGAGGGACAGGAGAATGGCGGCGAGGATCGCAGATGCCGCGGAGTGGTGTTGGTGATTGAGGAACTCTTCTATCGGGGGGAGATATAGACCGGATGCTCCGAGCCAGTCTGCGGCTAGAGGGAGATGGTTGAGTAGTTCGTTCATTGGAGTGAGCAAGGTATGGAGTGTTTCAAGCCAGTGTGTGAGTTGGATGGTGATGATCGGTTCTTCCATCGGGATGACTATGATGTTGGTTAATTGACTGGTGGATTTTGGATTTGAATCTGTGGTAGCAATGAAGAGCTGTATTTAGTCCTCTAGGACCTGTTGCTGTTAAGATGAATTCAGTAAAAACGATATGAAGTGAGGTGGTTCATGAACATGAAGATGTAGGTGGAACAATGGAGTTTTGATGATACCTAAGGATAAGTGCACACGATGAAAGAAATTTTGCGAAAACCAAAAAGAAAAGAAAAGAAAAGAAGAACGAGACAAAGAAAAGGGCGTGGAACTGAATAGAAGCAAAGTCATTGTGTGACAAAGGACAAGGTGGCGGTCTGTGGGCTTGTAAACAATCACAGCATGAGGCCTTCGACCGGTCTGTGCTAAAGTTCAACGATTCGAAACGTACGTACGAGACTAGGTTCCTAGTAGTATATGCATGGATAAGGTATATACAGATAGGCACCTACCTTGATATATCCAGGGCGATCCATAGGATTCGAAAGTATATCCAGCGCTTGCCCGGTAGGTACCTATATATGGCAAAATGAAAGACTGGTTTCCAGCGAAGTAGCAAATTTACTCAATCGGCATTTACTGTCCTTCCCTTTCGAGGGCGAAAGGGAAGGCTTCGCTTCGAACCCCGGTTCCGCAAGGGACCGTATCTTTTTTCCCCTTCCTTTTCCCCATCTTCTTGCAAAGTTCATTCGATCATTTTCCTCTGTAACGTACCTATCTATGTACATAGATATGATCTCTGGCAAGGACTATTTCTCAGCGTCTCTTGTCGGCACACTTGACCGGCCCAAACGTCGATCCGATCTCTCCCCATTTGATATTGCTGAAGGTGACCTCAGTATCGGGCTGGACCACGCGGATATTCTTAGGATCGCCTTCCGTATCGTTGCAAGGACCGGCCTCCCCAGAATCAAGCCACTTCATGAAGCCGCCCTCATCCCACCAGACACTGAAAGCAAGCACCATTCCTCTCGCCAGGGCCTCTCCCATCCCCTTGGTCGCGCCAAGCTCCCCATACCGTCTGGAGTTGATGGCGGTGCACAGCTCGTCGCTCAGGTAGTCGACCTGGGGCAGGTCCGTGATGTTGACGGCGCCGTTCTTGATCAGCTTGCCATCCTGGACGTACATGCGTCGATAGGCCTGGAGGACGCCGTTATCGTCGGCCGGGTACTGGGAGATGACGGTGAAGGGTCGTGTGGTGTCGACCTCCAGCCCCAGGCCGTAGCTCTCGTAGTTGTCGAACCTCCAGGGGTTGTAGCCGCAGCCGTCCTTGTCGCAGATGCCTTCGTACGCGCACTCGGCACCCTCACACTTATACAGGCCTGTTTGGTTGCAGGGATGGGGGGCAATGTGAGTTGCACGCGAGTTGGCTTCCCAGATGTCCATCTCGTTACAGCAGGCACCGTATCCTTCAATATTAGGCTGTGAAATCCCGGTTAGCTATCCAAAATCATTCGACTGCAAATTGCGAAATGGAAACAGTAGGAAATAGAGAGAGGAAGTTGAAAGTCCATACCTCACCGCCAACAAATGGCGTCGTGTAACATTGGGCATCGCAGTATCCGGTTCCCCAAGGTGCACCGGCCTTGTTCATGTCACTGAGCCCACCGTCCGCTGGCATCTCTGACAGGTACAGGGCCCCATTCATCCCGCAGGGTAGTTTAGAAACATCAACGTCAAAACTGAACTCCTTTCCTGTAAGTTGCATCATCTCGTAGGAGGTCTTATCCTCAGACAAGAGGTAAACTCGGGGGCTGAGTGTAGCTCCGCTATCAGACAACATGTCAAGTCTGAGGCTGGAGCCGTCAGTCGTGACCCCGTATTGGGAGTAGTCCTGAACGCCCTCCATCACGCAGTTCTCCTGGCATGTCTCCTTGTCCGGGCATATGTCCTCGGGAGGCGGGTTGCCCCACGATCCACATCCCACACTGGGGTCGCCCACTAGGTGGACTGGATGGGCTAAAGAGTCCAGGACGATATGGGTTTTCTTCTCTACGCAACCGCCGGCCTTGGTGCACTCCCAGGTTGTGATTGGGGGGTGGATATCAGGAGCATCTCCGGCATGCTGTGACACAACCAGCCCGATAATAGAGGAGACAAGGAGAAGACGTGAAGAAGGCATGTTGGCGTGGGCTTGCGTGATATGGGTGTCTATTCTCGCAAGAACCTACTATATAATGGGCGCAACTGGAATTATATACAGAAGAAGGCCGGAGCCTTCGGTCGACTGTGGAGATCTTGAGCAAAAACATGACAATTCACCCTTACTGACCTACTACGTAACCCATCAACATGTCTGGCTGATCATCCCCGCTTGGAGAGAAATCAAGTCATGGAAGCGGTTCAGCTCGCGGCCTCGGTTCCTGAATATCGGTATATCGGCGAGTCGGCCCTGATGCCGCCGTTCCTCAATTCTACATGACCTGACCTGCTTTGGCGCCTTTCAAGGGCATTGAAGCGGGGAAGAAGGTTGAGGCCGTGAAATTTCCGAATGGGGATGCGGGAGTGAAGACCTCCGCATCTCGCCCCCTGTTCGGGCTTCATTTATTAGGAAGGACCAGCAGCCGGCATATGTCACTACTCCCCACATTCTTATCTCAGGAATCGAACTTCCGCAGAATGAGGTTTGAGGGGGACTCAGCCGACTGGTGTAGAAATCCGGCGTGATCTTGGCGGCATTGGCTAATTAAGTACCACAGCCTGTCGGCCCTGGATCCGGCTCGTCATGTTCCGCCTCCCGACCTAGTTTGATTACAGGCTACTCGAGAATGAATGCCTTGCTTGACCGAGAAATAGGTGCTGCCTTATTTGTTTCATCGAGGGCCGTCCTCATTTTGGCCCGAAGATGATCGTCATGCTAGTCTGGTCAAAGGAGAGACACCCGCCGACCAAACACGTAACGGTACTGTAGCCCAATAAGAGGCACATCATTATGGGTAACCTCGTCCATCAGGGGTAACCAATTGTAGTGGGGTGTTCAACTAGGTGAAGATTCGGTCTGCGGCCATTTGGAGGCGTTTGGCCTTTCGTGATGACTTCGCCGTCACTCGAGCCATATCGCCAGGCTTGAAAGCGTCCAGAGAACCTTGAATCTAATACCGGTTCATTCCCACTCCGCGCCCTTTTTGAGATACTTGTCCACGTCAACGCTCCCAAAGATTTCTCGCTGGAGCTTCTCCGTCTTCGTCTTTTCTTTTGCTTGGGCAGCCTTGAGCTCTTTGACGCTCATCGGCTTCTCCTTGACGACCTTGACTTCACCCTCTTTCATCTCCGGGATCGTAGCTCCAATGCCGAGATTGTCCTCCTTGGCCGACACCTTGATGGGGAATCGCATCCCTTCTCCCTCCCTGCCCAGTCCCTGGCGCGCATCTGGATTCCACCCTTGCGCTTCGAGGGCCTTGAGACCCATGCGGGATCTGTCGAGCGCCGATGGCGGGTGGGAGTGCTCAAGGCTGACCTGGTGGGCAAGCGAGGCGTTGTGCTTGCTGATCGACGTGGTTATCGGCAGCAGGCACACAGGGCAGATGGTCTGATTCGACGTCTCCTGGGGCGTGACGCCTCCCGCTGCTGCTGCTTCTGCCACCACCTCTGGGGTCGGCGTCGGCGTGCCAGAGCTGGCAGAGGATTGGCCAAGCACGATACTAGCGTAGAGATCCCCAATAGCTGAAGCCTTGACTCTGGACGCGGAGGCCGCAACTGCCGTCTCGTCGGGTTCTGTGGCACGCACGAACTCGATCTTCTTGCGCTTCAGTCCTGAGCCAAATGGCTTCTTGTGATGGAGTGGGATGTCCTCCTCCTCCTCCTCCTCATCAGAGCTTCTTGACCGTCGCATTTTGTCTGGGGTGGATTAGTGCAGACGCGGATCCATCTCGACCCAGGTGCGGGGACTGGATTCGCAAATGGAACCCCTGAAGCACACGCTGAATAAGAATTTAGGTATCCGGCTCAGAGAAAGAGTGCAAAAAAGCAAAAATGAAGTCGCGAGTAAAGCTCCCACCAGGGTTCGAACCTGGGCATTAAGGAATTTTGGAGACCAATCAAAACCTTACGTCCTAACCACTAGACAATGGGAGCCTGAGGCGCTAAGGTCGGCCGGCCGAAAATTAAATCACTCTATATAGCCTGGTTTGATCTAATGCAATGCACCGTGTATCTGTACGCCCTTATTCATGTTGACTGGCACGGCTAATAATAGACTTGGAATCGGTATATTATATTTGCAGGGGGCGACTGATGTCAGTTAGGTACCAACCACTAGATGTTGGTGCAACAAAGGTAGCCAGCATGCGTGAGGCCGGAAGGCATCGGCTTGCGTCTGTCTGCACACCCTCACACCTATCTAAAGGCATAATGCTCTGCTACTCGCACCGATTTGGGTGCCAGATGAGGTGGAAGACGTGGAGTTTACTATATGTGGCCCTACGTGATATTTAGTATCTATTGTTGAGCCAGGCAGGAAAGGGAGCAAGGTGTATCGCCGGCATCTCAACCAATATGCAGCTTCCAGGATTTGAATCGGTACTTTTCTGAATGCCTCAAATCAGTTAAGGATGCCCTCAACTCAATATCTATTCACATTGGGGTCTAGACGTAGCTATCAAGCGAGGGAAACAGCTAGGAAATCAAAATGGCAGAAAGTCTGTCCCTCACCGAGTAAAATGTCTTGGGAAACGCCTGGTCTTCCAACTCTCCAACGCAGAGCGAACTAAACTCGATAGTGAAGGAAAATCAACAAATATTTCTCACAAATTGTATACGACTGCTAAGCTTTTTTCAGAATGAACTTGAGAATCAAAAGACCCAAACAACAACTCAGTTCTCGCCAAGCACGCCTTGAGTGCCCAACTCGACTTTGAGACGGCTAACACACTTGCCAATAAACTTCCAAGCGTGATACAGCTGGTCTCACAGGATAAAGAGGTCAATCTCCCATGTCATATCGTCGAGACATCAACGTAGCACTAAGTCTTTTTTGACCTAAAACGGCCTGCTCGAAACAATAGAAGCATACATATCATGAATGTATGTCAAACGTCAAAGGTGTGAAGCAATTTGAAATCGCTCGGGCGCAGGACCCCTCATCCCGTAAGATTAGTTTATTCAAAATATGGCTCATTCAAAATAATTCGTAGACGTTTCATGACCAGTTTCATCACCGTGCATTAGCCTGACGTGCACGTTTCTTCTCCTCTGCCTGTGCCAGTATGCGTCGGCCCAAGCTTTCGCGCCAGGAGCAGTCGTTTCCAAACTCACACGTCTGGCACTTGAAACCCTCCTCTATCTCAACCCCTTGGGCCGGCCGCTCTCCGCGCCACCACTCCATATATTTGGAAAGGTATTTTTCCAGTGCTACCCGGGATACAGGGAAATCAGAGACATCTATATCCTCCCCAGTTTCCTGGTGAATATAGTGAACACGGAGCATTTGCCCAATAGAATCTGCCCCTTCAGGGAATGTAACACGTATCTCATCTTTAACCAACGCGATAAGATCACGGAGTGTGTTATACTTGAGCAGGTCAGGAGTCGAATCCATCGGTGAATCCTCCTCACCACTTGAGGTAATATCACTTGATGTTGGAGCTACCTGCGAGCTCCCGTTCAGCGCCTCGCCTGCCGAGTTTGCGGGCGTGTCATCGAAAATCTCATCGTGAAGACCGCCAATCTCAGCCATGAACGTATCCGAGAATGTATCGTCAGGATCGAGCCCATAGCGGCGAAAGACCTTTAGATAATCCAATTTGCCCGCAGCCATGTCGCACAAGAACATATGGTACAGAAGCAACTGGACCTTGGCTGGCTTAACAACTGCACGGGTGACGGGCTTGCGTGACCGTCTGGTTTTCACGTCTGTTAGATAGGCTTTGCGGTGATGCTCAGTCTTTGATTTTTGTGGGAAGAAGTCTCGGATGCTCGTCTGAAGCTGCGCTGCATGTGATTCTTGACTGGAGAGCTCATCCTCGAATTCCTCGTTTGGGTTGTCATAGCTGACGCTGTCAATGATTCCGTTGACAAGATTCCCATCAATCATACCCCACACTTCTAATTCCCGAGTCAAACCCATGTCGCGGAGGGTTCTCAGTCCTTGTACAAAGTTCCAGAGCCGAAGGCCAAATGCATCCTCTTTGGTCACAATGTCGATCTTCACGGCCTTGTGCACCTCGTCCTCGAGCTTCTGATGCATAGCACTGCCTTGTCGCATCGCTGCAGTGCGAGTGCGACGGCCTCCAGGTAGCCGAGTTAGGGTATAAAAGTACTGGAGTTCGCACCAAGCGCCCGATGTCAGGTCCGACACAGTCAGAGGCTTCTTAGGGTAAGACCGGAACCTCTGGAGGGGTGAGCGACCATCGTCGAACTCTTGGCCTCGCTCCGGTAACCTAGGCGCTTTTTCCTGGTCTGTAGTTTGCACAGCAGGCAAGGGAGCTTCCTCGTGAATATTTCTGAGCGCCCGACTCACTAATCGCTTCACGGTCAGTCAGCCTCGACCACAAGGCTTTTTATAGAGAGGGCCATTAAATTACAATCGGGATATTGGATGTCGCCATCCAGCGACACTGGTGAAGGCAGCGTGAGTGGCAGTGCCTCGACATGAGCCGCCATATGGGATTGCTGCTCGAACGCATTGCGAGTTCTCGGCGCACAGTTACTGTACGTGAAGTCCGTGGCATGAATGGCTGCAGCATTCTCTAGGACCTGCTCACCGACGGGGCGAGCGGAAGTAGCAAGTTGGATCAATGCCTGTTCGTCTTCTAGCGAAAAATCGTAATCAAAATCGTCGCTATCTTGCGAAGCCAGGTTTGCCATTGTAGTTATTATCATGAATCATGACCTGGCACGCTCATCGCTGGGCGAGGCGGTGGATACAGCAAAGAGTTAGGTGAATGTCTAAGGTGGCGTCGTCCACTCATAGAGCAGCGATTAGAAAGTGGTGATGTTAGGCAGACGCGAGAGCCACACGCCGTCACGTGGAAGCAATTACTGGATTGGGAGCACAGAAGGAGACAGTGAACAGAAAAAGCAGCCACTACCCGCGGTAGTTTGATTCCTCCACCAGGCGAATGATTGTTGTCGATAGCGTTTACCCGCTCAAGCCACTATACCAGCCACTGGCTCGTTTTCTTGGATCTATCTGTGGCTGTACAGGTTAGCCGCAAGCGCAGTCAAGCGCCTGCCGCAACACTGACTATTGGGTCTCCGCCACCTTTCGAAGCTGGAGATACAATTTGCTGTTGTAATTGTTAGATATGATTAGGATTTGATTGGGAATTGTGAGTTAGTATGTCTACTGACAATACTCTCTGCTATTATCACGTCGAGTTTTGATCAAGGGGGTAATCAAGAGGTCTGATTCTTCGGTAGGCAGACGTATTTCAAGCAATTAGTTATACAGTTATTAGGCAGGCCCACTGGCTAGCTCTGCTGTGGTGTAGTGGTACAGGCAGCACAATTCAGGCCAATCTGTGTCGAGGGGAATGGTTCCGATCAAGGCAACGACATTCAGGAACCCGCACCTATACTCAAACAAGCGCAGCAACTTGCCAGCCGTCTCGTATTTTTGGATCGGCCACACCTGCATGACCGATATGCCCATGCTCAGACTATTCCGTCGACGGTGGGCTTCGCCGTGGCGGTGCATCAGCTGGTACCTGAATGCGGGCGCCGCCCCCTGAGAGCCACGGAGTGGGCTGAAGCTCGTATGGAAACGTGAACATGGGGATGGACCGAACACGTTGGCACTCCCATTATGGTGTAGACTGTGGTGCGGTCTCAGTCGGCTTCAAGGCAGCAGCCGAGTACATAGAGATTGGTGAGCGCCTCGCCAGTAACGTTCATGCTTCCGTACCATTTTGCCTTCCACAGTCTCCAACACGCGTTTGCCCACATCCGCGCCCCCTTGACATACGAGTCCGGATACCCGCATTCTGCTTTCTAGCCATGGCATCATCTACGTTACACCGTCGTCGAGCAGGAAACAGCTCCGGGTCTGCCCCCGCCGATGCTCCCGACTCCACTCGCGGCATCAAACCAGCATCGCAACGCGCCGATTCGGGAGCTTCTCAGTCCGGGGCCGTCGATTTCATGTCGCTACCAACCGAGATCCATTTCGCCATATCCAAGCACCTCATCTACCCTGACGCCTTGTCCCTAAAGCACACGAGCAGACACTTCTATGGGCTCGTGAACACTGGAGTCAACCTCAAGGTCGAGTGGCTTATTGAGCGTCGAAGCCTGCATCTTGAATGCCCCAATGACAAACGCTGCGACTTGGGGAGCGATCTACGCTTCTGTCGTGGGAGTGTTCCGTAAGTCATCATCATTCGTCCATCCCATCTCCCCTGGCTATAACGTCGCTGACAATATTACCCTAGACTTCTTATGAAACGCCGCCGGGAGCACATGGAGTGCGACTCGAGACCTGGGTTGGGATGCCTCGTTTTTGGGACAAAGACCTGTGTCCATCGCCAACGAAACCCGAGGTGGAGGCGATGGCTGACGATCAAGTTTACCATTGAGCTGTGGTGGGTGCTCCTTGCGCTGGTGCCTCTTGCGTTCGTCTGGGCCTGGTTGGCCGAGCTTATCGGCCCTCAGGCGAGCTGAGAGCAAATGGGGAGGTTGGACGAGCTGCGACGGCATCATGCGGCTGGAGCGGAAGGTGATAGCGTGTGTGTGACAGGCATCTTTTGTTATACATACACGTTTTGCCAATGAGACCAGGGATTCGGGATTTTAGGCGTTTTACGAACGATATTTTAGGGTTGGACAGATACACCTTCCTCCAGGCGAGGAGGGTTTGGTTGGACATTGCGCAGTTAGTACATAATGATAATAACGATAATACACATTCGAATTTTGAGCACTACCTAGGTACTGCCCACCTGGCACCAAACTGTTTTGATACCCAGTCCCTCAATGCTTGGACGGCGATCCAGACACGCTCACCTCATTGACACTCATTGCAGGTTTCTACTGGAGGTCGGGCGAATGCAAACTGGCATATCTCGACCCATGCTAATTAGGTACTGCCGATGGGGCAGATTGATCCCTGGACAGCTGCCCCTGTCCGTCCTGCACCA